CCCTCCTCCTCCTCCTGCCGCGCCTGCGCTGCTGGGCTGCGCCGCGGCCTCCGTGTTCTGCGGCCGCACGGGCGAGCGGGGTGGGAAACAAAAGCCTTTAAACAAAACAGGTTCAGGCGTATGTTCGTCTTCATCTCTCTCCTGGCCTGCTCCCCGCAGCGGGGCAGTGCCGTGACCCTTGGAGTGCTGTAAGACATCTGCATTCCTGTCGCTAGTCCCAAAGTTGCTCTGCTTCCCGCGGGACCTCGCAGAGGCTCACAGCTGTACCTGTGAAGTGGTTTTGCTTGTTTGTTTGTTCGTTTTTCATTGTTTTGTTTTGTTTCGTTTTGTTTTACGCATACGGCTATAATGGAGTAGTGAAAATTGGCATCCAAATTGCTTTGGAAACCAAAAAAAGTGGAGTTTGGGTAGAGGCCAGCAGTACTGCTGGGTCCTGATGCTGTTTGTTTCAGTGATACTCTAGGTTATCAGACCCACGTACTTTTTGGCACCCTTAACCTCATACTGTCTTCTAAGGAGCTGCTCCATTTTAGAGCAGCCTTCTTCTTTCACCCACTCCCAGCTTAGTTCCTAAGGTGTTGCTCAAGGCAACCAAAGGGAATGCATTCCTAGTCTCCTTGTTAGGACTGTGCACACAAATGGCACACCGGAGATGAGCTGTATTGACTTTTGGTCCTTCATTTTTCATGAGCTGTCTTTCTTATAATAGGAAGAAGCTTGGGCTTCATAATGAAAACTTACACTTTTACTGGACCAGAAGGCTGAAATGCTGGATCTTGTAGAAAAAAATGGGAGTGTCTTCAAAAACTTGGAGTATGGGTTTTTTTGCAGAGGACACAGGAGTGCGTAGGCTTGGAAGAAAAAAAATGACATATGAAGGTAAAGTCTTTTTCTGTAGCAAAACACTTTCAGTTGAATACTGATTGGCTGGGAGTCTGTGTGGGATGATAGATAGGGAGATTCTGGAACAGAAAAGGGCCAAGATAGGGAAATTCCCTGCTGAAGGGCAGACCCCTGGGCAGTGTTTGCTCCAAATGAATGTAGGGCTTCAGCTCAGTGTCCACCACAGCCCACACTCTGCCTCTTAGGATTGAGCAGGACTGCAGTGACTCCACTGAGAGTCTCCAGACTTGCAATCCCCCTGGAGTCTTCTTTATGCTTAAGAGGTAGGAGGAAGCTGCTGCCTGGAAGGAGTTTAAACTCATTGTATGTTTGGAGATATGAGTGTAGTTCCAAACTCTGCTGTGTGTTAGGGCCAGGATTAATGTTAGAGCTGGGAAACTGAGCACCTTCAGAACTGGAATACCCTGCTTCTTTCTGTCCTGACTTACTGGCTAGTCTTTCTGGGTGGACCTTGGACCTGAACTGTCAGTAACCTCATCTCCATTCTTGTTTCTGGCCCTGTCTCTTAGATCGACCTCAGATTCACATTATAGGTGGCCCTTTTTCCTGTATGGGTCCTAGACTTGTTTGGGATGTGATATTCCCATCCTACTTCACATCCTCCATGTCATGTCTCTGTGCCAGCTCCATAACTGCCCTGGCTCTGTTCTTTGATCTAACTCCAACTTGCTCGTGCCATGTCCCTGCCCTAACTTTGTGACCTTGTCATGGCCCTCTGTGTCTGTCTTAGGTCCGTGTTTTCATCCCAGCTCATGATATGTCTTTGCCCTGGCTCTGCATCATCCTGAAGTAGCCCTGTCATGACTCTTTGTCCTGGGCCAACAAAAGCAAGTAGCAACAAGAGCATTTCACAAGGAGTGCACCTCTAAAGCCAGATCTTTGCAAGGTGAGAGGACACACCTTGATGGAAGAAGAAGCTGTTGTCAAGGCCTCCAGTGCACTAGTAGCCCCATAATTACCCTGGCTAACCTCAGCTGTGGCCCCCACCCACACACCCTCTGGCCACCAACCTGTGAGCTCTATGTGAACTTAGGCCTGGACATCCAGACATCACCTGGGCTGTGCTGTAGCTGTGCATGTCCAGTACCATCTCCTGTTGTCCTGACATATGGGCTGGTCTTCCTGCACAGCCAGTGAACCGATGCTATGGGTAGCCTCATCTTCAGTCCTGTCTCCTTGGATACAAGTAGTGTAATCTTGGGCTTGGCTCTACCCTGCTGTGTCTGGGCCTGTTGCTGGATCCAGCCACTACAACATGGGTGTTCCCGTTCAGAAACTGAATAGCAGTGGGGTTCCATGAAGAGTCCAATCACTAGAAAAGTCCTTACTGATGAGGCAGATCCAAGGTTAAGCTGGGGTGACAGATGCATGGGTTGGGTCCGCATCAGTGGAGTACACAGCTGGGCGCAGGCATGGCTGCAGTGTAGTTCAGGTGGGAGGCAAGAGCCTTGGGAGGGGGCCCTGCTGAGGTGTCTCAGCAGAGCAGAAGCAGTTTCTGACTTTCCTCACAACAGTTTTTATCAGACCTTGAGCAGTCAGCGACACACCCTGAAGGGGAGAGAGCAGGTACTGTCCCCTTCAGGCTTCAAGGGGTTAATTACGGCTTCGTCCTGGATCCTGACCCTTTTCTTACTGCTCAGGTTTTGAGAAAGATGTTTTCTCTAGTGGAAATCCTGCTGTAATATGCATTAGTTGCCTAAGAACAGATTTTCCTATTAGCTTAAATTTGACTTGGAAAGCTCTTTGTATTTCACAGACTGCATCCAGTCGACTCAACAGTTCACCTTGCAGCAGATTCCAATGAGTTCCTCTCAGCTTAAAACTCGTGATGAACTTCATCTGTGTCCTTATCTGAACCCTCATCCTATCTCTAAGGCTTCAGCAGAGCTCCCCTAGAAATGCAGCTTGGAAATAAATAATTTCCCTCACATGTCCCCTAAGATGGCAGACAAAGCAGGGACTGCTCCGCAATCCCAAATGCTCACTGAATTCCACATCTGTCCTGAGCACAGCCCTCATCCTAACTGTCAGGGTCTTGGAGGACCTGAAGGGAACCCTTAGCACTACCTTATACAGTCACAATGCCCAGCCATTCTCCCTTCCTGCAGGAAACAACATAGCTTTCTCCTGCCCCAACTGACAGTTCAGGTGGCATCCAAGGCTACATAGTAGAGAGCAGGTGCATAGGAGCCCTGTTTCTGGCTCCTTTTCTCAAGATTCCTTTCATACCCCTCAAAGGCAGAGTGTGGACCTCAGATTGATGAACTCCTGTCTTTCAGAGTAGCTTCAGTATGACTTCAGGTAATGTTTGTATTTCTCGGTATGCATCCAGCTGACTCAATAGCTAACATATGCCAGTGGGAGTATAAAAAACCCTCTGTAAGCAGTACAGCTGCCAGATGTGTAGTTTTGTCTGCTGTGATCCATATATATAACCATGACTTTCCTACTGAATGGCATATTGCCAGTGCATAGTCTGGCAGATGTGTAGCTGTGGTGTAAGCACCATCCAGAGTGGCCCTTTTTTGTGAGAGGCTGTTACTTCAGGTTCAACAGCCTCCTTGCTGTGACTGTTACAGTGTGATGACTCATGTACCTGTTCAAAACTAAACTATCTGTTCAAACCCACAACTTTTGGCTGCAGCAGCTGGGTTTGTTTTCCCCTTTCTCTCAGTCCCGTCCATGCTGTTGCTGCCAAGAGCAGAGAAGTACCAGTTTATAATGGGAAATCACTGAGAGTCTTCTTTGTTGTTTCAGGAAAATGTTCAGTTTTCAGTAATCAAAAAAAAAAAAATCTAAGGAAATGAGAAAAATTTAGGAATCTTGTCAACTCCAGAAGATGAGACTGCAGGCAGTCTTCAATCTTTCCTCAAAGCCTGCTATTGGACAAAGATGCAGATCAGCTCTGTGGGTTTATAATGGGGACTTTGACATGTTTCTTCATAATAAACAAGACAGCTGCTGACTCAAATTGCTGATGTGAGCTTTTTAGCTCAAGCATATTTATTCATAAATGTATTAGTCATTTATTTTCTATGTTAATACAGTTTATGACATAAGTTAGGTTGTATGAGAAGAAAAAAACCGAATACCTTGCTGCAAAAGTTTCCTGCAGGATGAAATGAAGTGAGATACAAAAATGCAATTAAAATAAAAAAAGAGAAAAAAAACCCCAAGAGCTTTGCCATCTTAGTCAGTCACCCTAACACCTTCAGCATCCACATCAGCAGAGACTTAATAGTCCACACTGCAAATTTACGTTGAGCCAGAACTAAGAACCTGTTCATACTGCATTTCTAGTTTGGCTAATGAGCAGTTACAGCAAATTCATTATGTCATTACACTTCCTTACCTCCCGCTTTCATAGAAGGGATAAATTATCCTTCCTTTATTTCATAAAGCACTTCCAGAGTTACACATAAAAATCTCTGAACCCAGGAATTACGGCTATATTCCAAACAAACACATATCTTTTGAGCAGATGAAAGAGCTGGCATCTTGTACTACACTCAAGCTAGGAAGTACACATGATTACTAGCATACTTTATTTTCTAAAGAACAAAACCAGAGCTTTACCTTAAAGCAGACACAATTAACATGCATGAGAGAAAAATGAAATATGGAAATACAGGTATGTATAGGTTATGTATATGTGCATTAAATTAACATATGGTGCTGAATGGCATGGATTTTAAAGACAGGCAATATAGAATCAGGTAGCAATGAAGTGAGATACAGAAACATTGCTGAAATTAAAGGCTTTAAAGTTTTCTGAACACCTTTAATAGCCCCAGCATTACTGAAACTGATATTCAGCAGCCTATCCTGCATTTTTATGTAGGATGCAGAGTTTTTTTCACCTCTGGTTTTGTTTAAAGATATAGCCTAACATAGTGAACATAGAGGACTGATTGTTCTTTAGTTTTGTTCAGGGAGCAGGGATATTCCTCTGGCTCCTTATAGTCAACAGTCCACAGCACAGTTATTATTTACCCAGTGAATAGTATGCATCAGTGCTTTCACTTTGCTGACTACCAAACTTTAACCTCCTGGACTCTGATGCCAGTATAGTCAGTTTTGAACTCCATAGAGCTGGAAAAAGCTGTGTTTTCTGCAGGATTGCTGCTGGCAAACTTGTCCTCACAGTTTCTCTTAGTTCGTCTGAAAGAGAGTTCTCACCATTTTCATGAAAAGGAGAGAATTAATTGCTGCATAATCCCCATAACATAAGTTGTTACAACCTGAATAAATGTTCTGAAATGGGTGATATGTATATGAACATAGCTCGAAGCCCTGAAAGGCTTCAGACAAGACTTCTTGGTAGCCTGAAGAGGCTCCGGGTCACAGGGTTTATCACAGCAAAAGCCTCTCTGCCTTTTGGTGAGGCCTCACGTCATTGTTCAGGGACCAGACCCAGAGACCACCCCTCTCCATGGGTTCTGAGTGTGAGGATGGGTATTTGATGTCTTTTACAGAATCACAGAATCACAGAATCAATGGGGTTGGAAAAGATCTCAGAGATCATTGAGTCCAACCTGTGGCTGAACAGCACCATGTAAACTAGACCATGGCACTCAGTGCTATGGCCAGTCTTTCCTTAAACACCTCCAGGGACAGTGACTCCTCCACCTCCCTGGGCAGTCCATTCCTATGTCTAATCACCCTTTCTGTGAAGAAATTCTTTCCAATGTCCAACGTAAACCTCCCCTGGTACAGCTTGAGTCCTGTTGTCCTGTCACTACTTCTCTGGGAGAAGAGGCCGACTCCTGCCTGGCTACAACCCTCTTTTCTTCAGGCTAAATACTCCCAGCTCCCTCAGCCCCTTCTCCTCAGATTTGTGCTCCAGACCCTTCACCAGCTTCAAAGTGTCTCCAAAGCAATGCGTGGAACTACAGACAACAAATCCTCCGGCTAAATAAAAAGAACCCGTAGCTGCCTGCGTCTCCTGAAAACTGCAGTGGCAGTTCAGCCGGGTGGCGTTTTTAAAGGACGATTCGGCACACGGCTGGTCTCTCGGGGAACACCATCCGAGTTGGCTCAGCCACCCTGCCGGTAGGCCCTGCCTCGGCGGGCACCTCGGGCTTTCCCCGGGCCGGGGCGGTGCTGCCGGGCGGTCTTCCCGCCTGCCCTCCCGCCGCGGCGTGCTTCCCGCAGCTCCGGCCGGCTCCGCCATGGGCCCCGCGCGCTGGCTCTCCCGTGGCTTGCTGCCGCTCCTGTGCCCGCTCCTGCTGCCGCCTCGGCGGCGTGGGGGGCCCGGGTCTCGGGCCGGGCTCCGCCCCCCGGGCGGCGCTGGCCGTCCCTACAGGTGAGTGACGCGGGTCAGGCCCGCAGCGCTCTGCGTTTTCTGTTCTGTTTATTAGGCTAAAAAGGCCGTGAAATCATCCCCTTTGTAATCACGGGGCGTTGGTCATTTGTACGGCATGTGGTGTGTTTAGGTCGCTAAGTCTCATGCCAGGCCGAAGGCTGCGCTTGCTGCCTCTGCCTGGAGAGGGATTGCTGCCCCGGGAATGACTGCCCGCCCTTTAAACGCCTTTAATTCCCGCAGAAAAGTTGCGATGAGGAAAGGGGGGTACGGCTTATTTTATTTTTAAAAAAATTAAGTCTGCGTCATACTTCTGCCCGTGGTGAATGCAATGGTACAAAATCCCGTTCGCTTCTCCAAAGCTGCCTGAGCTCCAGGAGAAGTCCTAGTGGTGTTGGAGACAGCAGGAGAGCGCTGTGGCGTTTTACTGGCGAAAATAGTGACAGCTTTGGCTGTGCTGAAGAAATGAACCCCTTCAGGAGGAGGGCTACGCTTGCTATGTGTATTTTATGCGGGTTTGCTGTATTAAAGGGAGGTTTTAACTGCTGTCTAATGCACATCTGAAAGTTTGAAAGCCTGTTGTGTAATTCCTAGCTCTTAAGTTTGCATCAGGTGATGCCTGAAGGAGCTGATCTTGCAGTCACGAGTTGTTCGGATTTTCAAGTAAGTTCACGAGTTGCAAGGCTGGGTCTTGGGATGGTCAAAATTGTAGTACAAGCCTGTTGGTGTGAAGTGCTCAGAAATGTGAGATTTTAATGCTTCTTAACATGGTAACTTCTTGTCACATGCAAGGTGCAGTGAGGGGAAGTTGAAAATGTAGGGTGCAGTCTAGAAACAGGACTTAAATGTGTGGTTGGCATAAGTCTTTGTTTTCCTTGTGTTCTTTTTCCAGCCATACTCTTTAGGATTTTTTTTTCTTGCCCCCACCTCCCTCCCCCAGACAAAACAAAGGCAGACATGCTGAAGTTCCCAGCAAGCTTGGAGAAGAAGTCCAAAGGGAAAAGCAGCACTGTCTCAGTGCTGCTGACCTTCTTATGGTTCAGGAAGTCCTGTGTCCTTGAGTCATCTCATGTCTGGGGTATTTATGCCATTCAGTAGCCCTAGGCAACTGAGTATGTTAGACTCTCAGGCAAACTTTACAAGATCTGGACAAGCTGTGTATGCCTTGTTTTAAGTGAAATACAGTGAGTGACTCTGAAGGAAATTGGAAAAGGAAGACTTGTGAGAAAGGTTCTTTGATGTTTGTGTAGAGTATCATAAGTAAGCAGATTCGGTCTTTGGTTTTTGAGGTTTAATAGGAATGAAATGGAAACAGTGATCCTAGCTAGGTTCTTAGACCTCTTTTTCTAAATTAGCATAGAGCAATGAAATTTTTTTCTGATATTGGCAATATTCTAGAGTAAAAATAACTTCATCTGAGGACCTTTTACAATAGAAGAGGAAGAACAAACTGGTCAATCCCTGTATAGACAAACTGTTAGAAGAATGTTTTTGAAACAGATTTCAAACTATCCTTTATCCAGCATCTGTGTCTGTCTGATTTTGTGAGTATGTCACGCTTTGTAATCTGTATCATTTGCACTCCTTCATTAATCAGTACTGTGAACAACATGACTTGCATTCTTGAGCCTTAAATCTGAGGTCCTGTTTCTGCAGGTGTGCACCTCAGCAGCCTTTCAGACTTGTGTACTCCAAGGATTGCAGTGCCTGGATCGCAGAATCAGTCTTTGGGGGTGGCCGGACACTTAAGCTCTCCCACTTGGGCCCTTAGGAAGGCATGAGAGTTCCTCCAGCTGCGAAGCTGTGTTTATCATTCTGTGTGCTTCTCCTTCTCAACACAGGCGCTTTGATTACCGTCCAAAAACTGATCCTTACTGCCAGGCTCGTTACACCTTCTGTCCCACTGGCTCTGCCATTCCAGTTATGAAAGAAGAGGATGTCATTGAAGTGTATCGATTACAGGCTCCAGTATGGGAATTCAAATATGGAGACCTACTAGGACACTTGGTAAGGTGATATTTTTAACAAAGTTATAGTGGCAAATTCAGCTGAATTCAACAGCAGTTGTCAAGAATGGGAGCTGTAAGGTTGGGACATGCTTGTATAGAAGAGTGTTAAAGCACACAAGCTAGCCTAGCTGTAGGAAGGATACTCAAAGAGCACTAAGTTTCAAATAAAACTTACAGAATTTAGTTCAGCTAAAGAAAAGAGCACAAACAGCACTGTTGGTGAGTTTGAATGTGTTCCCCCATATAGCTGCATATTGAGAGTGTTTTGTATACACACACCATTATGTTTGGGGTATCTTTTCTTCTGTGCTAGCACTGGATCAAGAAGATACTTTTATTTATCTTCTTATATCAGATGAAGTAGTTCCTTAGTGCGTTAACTTTTTTATTGTTAAAAACTTGTATTTGCTTGAACGTTGATACCTTTCAGGAGAGGACAGCTACCTGGTCAGAATGGTAGATCGTGAGGAGCTGGTTGCTTTTACAGTTCTTTCTTGAATGTAATGACCAGTATGGAATTGAAGTCTCCATTCATGGAGTCATGCAAATATGAAAGAATCTCAACTTTAGTAATACTTATAGCTATAGCAGTAGCAAATTTAAACTTCAAAGAATGATTCCTAATGAATAAAGAAATTTCAGTGAACATGATATAGCAGCATCAAAACCAAGCACACTGAGTCAAAAATGGAAATAGATTCAAATATTGTTGCTTCAGTTGTTAATTAAGGTCGAATGTATGTTTTTACTATACAGCTTTTAAAAGAAATATTTACCTCATTCCTTTTATGGCTTTCATTACCAAGATCTGTTTTTGGTAACTTGGTTCTGCTCTTTATTACTCTGATGCCCCTATGAGGTTTGTATCAGGGTGAATTTATGCTGATACTTTTGGTCTGTGTTTGGCCCAGACAACTGTAAAAGTTTTGTTCTTTCTCTGCCAAGTTTTGAGAAAACAAGTACTGATAAACAGGTACCTCGTCCTTGGAGAAGGAGCTTCTTGTATAAACTGTTTTAATTGGTGTTCTGTGATTGGCTAATTGTCCTCCAAGGTCACTTGAAGGAGAAAGTGAAGACTATAATGATGAAGTAGCACCCCCAGACTCATTTGGAAAAGACCCCCGAGTGCAGTACGCAGGCACAGGGAAAGCCACGCATGCACAGAAGAGATGCACTTACATAACTAAGGGGTGGGATGAAGAGCCTCTGGCTGGGCAGTGATGACCACTCCTGCCTAGGTTGAGGTCACTCAGTTAATTGTATAAAAGCAGATAGTGCTTTCTTGGAGGGGAGCTGGCTTCACACCAAGGACAACGTTGCCTTTTGGCAGGGACGCCTGCCAGTTTGTGAACTTACTGACTCTCCAAGGATGCAGCTTCTGCTATGGGTAATTATAGGCATGCTAGATTGGTAAGATAACTTTATAGGCAACAGCTGGGTGACTGGGGAGGTCGTGCTGGGGGCTTACTTCTCTCCTCCTTCCTCCCTTTTGGGTTTGTTTGTTTTGTTGGCCACCTCTTGGTAATAAATATCTGTTTTGTTGAGCTTTCAACGGTGTTGTGGTTTTCAAGATTCAGTGTGGTCCGAACCCTCCCTAATACAGAGGTTAAGGATTCAAAAGTCAGCTTGAGTTTTGATGATGAGCTCCCACTGAGAATCTGCCTCTAAGTAACAGAATTTATGATGGATGGGTAGATAAGCTCTGAGACAGCATGATAAAAGTATGAGTGTGATTCAATCTAGTGTGTTGTGCATCAGTGCGACTGAATCCAATGTTACAGAAACTCCTTCCCCTCCTCTCACCCTGTTACAGAACAGCTCCCAACATCTTATCTTCTGTACAGACCAAGCTGAAGTTGTTATAATGTTAAAGTTTTGGGTTTTAATTGTTTGGTTTTTATCTTTTCACAGAAAATTATGCATGATGCTGTGGGTTTCAGGAGCTCTCTAACGGGCAAAAACTACACAATGGAGTGGTATGAGCTCTTCCAACTTGGGAACTGCACATTTCCACATCTGCGGCCTGGCATAGATGCACCGTTCTGGTGTAACCAGGGAGCTGCTTGCTTTTATGAAGGAATAGATGATGCACACTGGAAGGAAAATGGAACTTTAGTTCTTGTGACTACAATATCAGGTAGATTTGAGATGCTTTGGATAATGTTAATACAAAATACAGAGTCAGCCTTGTCTTTATGTAAAGCAGTATCTTTTAATTTATGTTCTGTAGGTTATTTGCAGTGTTAGTCACTGATGCTAATTTCAAACACTCTCTTTAATGCAGAAAGTGGCATGAGGCTGCTGCCTTTTGAACAACACACTGAAGAGTTGTTAAATGAGAGTCATGTGGTATTGCTGTACCAAAACACTTGAGTCTCTTGAGTGTAAAAATAGCAAAACAGCTTATACAGAGCCATTATGGACTCTTCACATGGCTTCACCAAAACAAAAGCTTGTACTGTGAAGTGGCAGATGAATGCTGAGATAGAAAAACTTGAAAATATGTTCATTACTGAGCAAACAAATAAGGCATATTTAGAAACAATCTCAAAGATAAAAAAAATATTAGTCTCTATTTCCATCTCCCCATTGTCTGTCATAAAAACTGTGCAAATGTCCCCAGTAATAGGTCTCTGTCATACATTGTAGAACAAACCTACGACTTACACCTGTAAATACACGGATGATCTCCAGAATAGCTTCCTGGTACATACTGAACATTGCAATCCTAAAGTGAAATGGTCATTTAATAAATCTAATTGATTGGTCTACTAATAGAATTAATGTCTTAGAAAAGAAGTTCATTGAGGACTTGGAGAGTTGCATTTTTTGTGACTAAAACCACTTACTCTCCGAAGTTAATGTAGTGTACAAGGCACAGTGGAGAGTCAGCTTACAGTTAGTGTGATGTGGTGCTTTATGTGTGCCCACTTCCACTTTTAGCAACGTTGCTGGCCTCAGTCTCTAGGTAATCTGTCCAGTCTCTTAAGAAATTCTAGGCAGTTCTTTCAGCAGTGAAGTAAAGCAGAGCTGCTTTCCTGTGAGTTTGTGGTTCATGACTGAAGTCTTTGATGCCTGATGCAATTGGATTCTTTTTTATGAACACCAAGTTAAATATTTTCATATGGTTCTAGAACTTTTAATGCTTCCTGCCTGAGTGGATTATTTGATGCCCAAGAAAGGTGAGGTTATGCTGGTTCCTTGTGGAGGCACTGTTACTTCCTTGTTTCTCTCACTTCTCATTTCCAAGAAACTTTTAGGGAAGTAGTATATCAGAGGGCTTTGAATTGTCTAGATTTGACTAGGAATCTGAATGTTACTGTGGAAGAGGGTGAGGGGATGCAAGCACAGAGGAACAGCATCACGAGCTGAACTTGCTTCCTTCAGAGAGCAAGCAAAAAGCATCCCATCTCATGGGATAGAGCTTTAATGTATGAAATGGCTGGATCCTCTTAGACTTTGTGAGATTCTATAGGGCTGTTGGTCATCATCGTCAGACACCACAGTGAAGCCATCTCATTTCCTTTTAAAGCCCATCAGAAAGGTTAATGTTAATGTAGGAGTATGTTTCTTCTGTGGAAATAGGACAGGACAAACTCTGATTTTTGATTGTCTAGGTATCTTCCAACATACTGTCAATGCAGCCATGCATTAACCTGTAACACTTCTGGTTAATTTGCGATGTTAAGGCCAGAACTTCATATTATGTCCATCTCAGTCTTGTTAGGAGAAACTAATCCTTTTCAATAACATGCCTTACAGAATATGCAGTAGGAAGCTAATGGGGTAGGAATTAGAGAAGATAAGGGGAAACTTCAAACCCATCTACAGTGTATAAGTACCATTCTTGATACAGATTTAATGACTTGCTGTTCTATTAAACCAAGTCACAGGCAATTAAAAAATAAAGTACCTAATCCTTCCACTAAGCAGTGATTGTTACGTTTACCATGAAGTCCGAAAGCTCTCAAGTGGGGAGTGAAGAGCAGTTATAATGGGGTAGCCTGGGAGGCGAATGTCCAGAGCTTTAGTTACTCAGAGGTAGTAGCTAGCAGCGAGACAAGCTGAGTTAGGGATGTCTTCATCATTCCAGTTGTGAAATCACCATCACCTAAATACTCCAAACCCATATTCTAAATAAAAAAATAATCTTCAAGGTCTTTAAGTTTACTGGTCTTCACATCCCACTCATCATTTGGCTCAGTTCAGCTTTGCTGGCTGAGGAGCTGCTAAAACAGCAGGGTGTTTCAGTCTAAGGTTTCTTTTGTGAAGAGACATGAAAATTTCTGCCCTGAATTGCTGAATTTGGTTAAAACTTGAAGTGCAGAAATACCTGTTGCTCTGGTGAGTGCTTTGTCAGCATGTCTTGTATATTTTACTACCTGCCCTGTTTGTCTGCACGGATAAAGGAAAATGAGAAGTGTCATGGTTCTCTGATGTTTGGATGTTCTGCCATAGTAGGAGGAAGAGGGTCAGAAGAAGGAATTAGTTTTAAATAACTTGCATGTAAATGTGGTTTATTCAGTGGGGTATCACTTCTCTCTCCAACCTAAGCCTTGTGCCCATGTATGGTTAGGTAATGTTGTAGGTAAACTTTTGCAGGGGAGGGAGGTGAACCTTGAAAAGTATTCTGAGTCATGTGTTTGTTACCTTGTCTCTGTAATACTTATTTTCATCTCTTACAGGAAACATGTTTAATGAAATGGCACAGTGGGTAAAATATGACAATGAGACTGGTATTTACTACGAGACCTGGACAGTTCAGGCAAGTCCTGACAAACAATCAACAGTATGGTTTGACTCTTATGAGTGCTCGAAGTTTATACTGAGAACCTACCAAAAGCTGGCTGACTTAGGAGCTGTATTTAAGAAGATACAAACAAACTATACAAGCATAATTTTATTCAGTGGAGAACCTATTTATTTGGGAAATGAAACGTCTATTTTTGGACCACTAGGAAACAAGACATTGGCAGCAGCTATAAGAGACTTTTACAGTCCATTTAAACCTCATCAGTCAGTCAGAGAGTTTTTTGTGGATCTTGTAAGAATAATTGATCGTGTCATCTTGAATCATCAGTTTTACCTCTTCTACAACTTGGAATACTGGTTTTTACCTATGAAGTTTCCTTATCTCAAAATAATTTATGAAGAGGTCCCTTTACCTGTTGGAAGCAAAGAGTCCTTTGGTGTATAGCTGCTTACTGAAGAACCAAACTTGCCCTTATGTCAGATTTGGAGCATTACCGTGATGGTGCTAAAGGGTCATACGTTTCAGTGCTAACTGTAAAAGTTGTGTTGGGAAGGCTTTGCCAGACACCATGAAAGAATATGCATTTTTTTTTGTTATTACCTGTATAACACATGAAAGCTTCAGCATCTATGACTTAGCTTCTGTGTAACCATGGCCATGTGCTGAGGCTCCTTTGGCTGAGCTTGGCAGTGCCAGAGGGGGAGTGGGGAGGCAGCAGCCTGCTCTGGTCTCCACATGCATGGCCATGCCATAGCAGGTAGCACCTGACCACCTACAGAGGTGGGACTCAGCATTACAAGGACTAAATCGGCTTATCTTTGTCTTGGAGCTAAAAAACCTGAGTGTCTTCATGTGTTCAGTTCCTTCAACATGTGCCTTAGACTGGTAGTTCTGTAGTTCTTTGGTTTGTAAACTGGGACCCATAAACTGTTCTCCAGTGTTCAGTGGCGGTGGGGGAAGGGGCAGTGAATCTACTAGAAGATGGCATGGGTGGTATCTTTTAACCACTTTGCTTCATTCACCTATACTGTAACACAATACAGATGGATCTTCTTTAGCTTTGTGTGTTCTGTAGCACAGAGGAAAACAAAAGTGCCTCTTTTGATGCCAACTTTGATGCATAACTGCAGTGTTCTAGCAGTTTCCTGCCTTAAAGTCTACTTGAGGCTTCAGTTAGGTCAGTGTCATAGAACTCATGGGTATATTCCTTTCAAATTTCTTTAAAAAGCATAGAACCCTTAATATGAAAGAAGCAATGACAGCTTGTAGGGTGTTAACATTGGAGTTAAAAATCTGTGCTTGTCCCAGAATTGCCCATAAAAGGACACTGCAGCTCTTGCTGGCACTGATGCTTGCAGTAGTGGTGCTGTGCCAGCTGCACGATCCTTGAGTCCTGTTCCAGGTTCAGCCTAGAGCAGCTTAGCAACTAGTTTGTTCCCTTTAAACTCAAGTGACCAAAGCCAAGGAAACACTGGCTTTCTGGAAACCACTGAGGTGCCTGCACACAAAAAATACACCTGCAGCAATGTAATCATCTCCAAGTGTAGGCAGCTCACTTGTATTTTTTTTAAACTAGCTGCAGAATGAATAGCCCTCCTACAGAGGTTATTGCTGTCTCATGGCCAAGCAGGAACACAGAAACCCAACTCTGCAGTTTCATTTGGCTTGAGCCAAGCTAATAGCCTGCTGCAGCCAAAGAGGGGTGTACACAGTGATTTGATTCAAATCATAAGAATGGCAGAAAATTAACCTTGTATTTAGAAAGTCACTAAAATTGATCAGTTGAATTACATCATCGTGTAAGGGGATGAGCATGAGAGCTTGTGTGAGAGTAATGAGAGGATGAGAACAGCTCTGTGCATGGAAAAGCTGCTAATTACTTCCACTGGTAGGTGAAACTTCATTTTCTGCCTCAGATTGAAAGACTTTGCTCTTTTTAGCTAAAGTCACAAGCCCTCATGGCTGAACTGAGCTTTGGATTCTTTAGATTACTGTCATGGTTTCACCCCAGCCAGCAACCAAGCACCACACAGCACCACCAGGAAGGTAATCCAAGAGGCACTAGGAAAATTAAAAAGGGTGCAGCAAGCCTGTCTACAGAAGTTAAGATTCTTGTTGATGACTCATTTCTGTGACTTTGAGACCCTCAATGTTGTTGAACGTACATTTGTCTTCCCCGGGAAAAGCCACAACCTCAAAAACCAGTGTCTGAAGCTGTGAGGGGGAAACTGAATCACAGAACCAAGCCAGTAAAAGTCCCAAAAGCTTCTTCTCTAGTATTTGCTAAGCTGGAGAACTTTGGGAGGCTGAAGTAGATGCTATGGCAGGGTACGTCATGCTCCCTCATAGCAGCCTGACAGTGCTGTTCATTCACTGAACAGTACTTCTGTGTCTCTACTCAGAACCTAAGGAGCCTACACACCAAAGTAATTCTTTTCCCCTAGTAGCTGGAGTATTTTGTGATGCATACAAGAGCCTTACAGAACTGGAAACACTGAATTCTGAAATACACAGCTAATGGTAGCTGAATCATCCAGCTTCTAACACTCAAAAAGATGGGTATTTGTGAACCAGCAATAGAGAGCTTAAGACAACTTAACAGAGCTGACTGGTTGCAGAGGTAAAAACCTCATTCTTAAGGAACTTGATAAAAAATAGTTTGTGTGAAAGATGTAATAATTTTTCGTGTGTGTGGTCAAATGTAACTTCATGGTTCTGTCAGTACAAGTGTATAATATCCTGAGCTTTTTGTACTTCAATATCAGCCCTTCTCACTTTTTCTATTTCATCTGTACAAACTGCCTAATTTAGCATGTTTTACTCCTGCCTTACTACTCTGGTAATAGGTAGTAGTGGTTCTAGGAGTTGATTCAAGAGAAAGTTACATCCTAGCATGTATTAGTTGCAAGTTAGAGGACAGTAAATTTCTGGCAACAAAGATGAAGACAACAGGACAGTTATTTGTCAAGGATACTGCATCCCTTGGTGGTAGAAGCAGCAAGAAGCAGCTGTTTGAGGCGAAATCTGGGTCCATTCAGCAATAGATCACACTGCCAATCACTTGGGGATTCTTCCACACAGCCACGTGTGTATTCCAAGTCTGTTTCACACTTTGAATTCTACCCTCAGTTTAAAGGTACTAATTATCAGTGGAGGAGTTGCCCTTTATTTAACATACCTGAGTTCCTTCTGAGGTCAGTATTTATTCCTGCTGGGCACACAATTGGAGAGCGAGTGAGCCTCTCAACTGGGGAGGGTTTGTGAAAGTTAATTGTTCAGACTGAATGCACAGCTGGGTGGGAATAAACTCCACCAGCACAAACTGCAGTCCTGGAAGAGGTGCAGTTGTTGAACAATTAATTGCACTGGAATTAGCTGAAGTTGTTGAGTGCAGTGCTCTTTTGTAGGCAGAATCCAGAATCCTTGAGTTAGGCCTTCAGAATTAGATCCAGAATAACACAGAGCTGATGAATAGCCTACTTCTGCAAAGTTTAGACAAGCCTAGAATAGGTCCATAAAGATTACACTTCTGTCACTTAAAAAGCAAGTGTTAGATGTCACAAACGGCTTCTGTGCACCTGATGATCTGTTATAGTTTGCCACTGAAAACCACCTATTGACCTCAAGCATCTGAGATGGACAGCCTCCTCCTGAAAGTCACACAGAGGAGCAGAAATAGTAGGATCACACCTGGCATCTCACTCACAGCCAGGTGGTACTCACAGCACTTGCCCAACAGTAGGAACCAGGGGACTGTCCTTACTGCCAGGCTCAAGGATAAGCACCTACTTTCTCCAGTGGCTGTGTCGTCGAGTCTTTACTCACGCTTTGAATACAGGACTTGTTCATCACTTTAGACTGTGTTTGTTTCTGCTCCCTGCTGTTATGCAAGCTGCAGTTAAGGGTACAAATACGCAGTAATTCTGCAATACAACAATTTCCAGGTCTGCACACTGGTCTTGTGCAAAACTGCTTAATTGTTACACCACTGAGCTGGGGGGCTGTAACCCACACTTCATTCCAGGAGAGTTCCCAAGTGAGGCAGATCCTGGCTGGTCACACCTCAAGGACTGAGTGTGCAGCTCCTGCTCCCCAAAGGGCCGTGCAATGAAAATTGCTGGTACAAATGGTTTCTGCTTTCCCCCTCACAAACCCATTCACAGATGTTCTGGATTAGGAGAGCTGCCGCCTTCAGTATCGTAACTTGTAGGCCCTTGTGTTCAGAGGTAAGATTTGTCACTGCACGCATTAACAACTCCTACCCAAGACTGAACAACCAGGCCAACATTGGATTGGATTCTTCCAAAAACAAGAAATAAAAGGTGAAGTCAGGGAAAAATGATGCAGCTGTGACACCCCTGTTCATGTTTCTAGTGAATTTCATGAGTCTGTGGTAGTCATTACTACTTATGCCATGATTTTTATGTATTCATTATTCATTTGTTCCAATGTGTAGAAGACAAAATAAAATGTAAAAAATTTGCTAAAAAAGAGCATCGTAGCAACTCTCTTGCCTAAGTATTACAGCTGGACTGTTTGAGCTAAGGATGCTGTAATTGGTTTGGTGTATAAAAATTGTTGACCTTCAGCAGAAGAGACAACTGCTTTCAAGCTATTGTCCTTGAACATATTGATAACCGTTACAATACTCTGTTGCATCCAGGAAGGACTTTTTGAAGTCTGTGCAACAAAACAGAGGCTTTTCAGAACAAGTCAGTTACCTTACCGGTGAAGGAGTTCTGTTAAAACCAAACACTTGTCAGGGTCTGACCACAGGTCTCTCTGTGAGCAGCAGAATGCTGGGTTGCAAATACACGAATTCTCAAAGTTGTATGTGGTATTTAGGTTGTACCTTTCCTTTCAGTTATTCCTGCTACCAGCATGTTGGTAACTTACCTTGCGAGTATCGGGACCTCTGTAGTCAAGGTCCAAAGAGGTGTTACTAGTGGGATTGTTACTAGTGGCTGTGTTACTAGTGGGATCGCCTCACTTTAATGTAGTGAAAACCTGTCCTCTTCCCCAGACTGCAAGTGTTACTCCACCTTATAATACAGGCAGTTCTGAGAGTCATATTACAAAAAACATGGAGCTCTTTTACTTTTATGGACTAAATATATTGACACCTTTTATACAAATAAAAGCAAATTATAGTATTACATTAATTTAACAAATTCTAATACAAAACCCGCGTGTTTCATAAAATGCAATTTTTAAATCAAAGCTCTACAGCAACATCTAACTCCTCTATAAAGATGTCCAGTCCGCTGAGCATTGCTTGCTCAAAATATAGTTATGAACTTAAATACACTCATAAGTGTATTACACTGAGCTATACATCTGGTTAAACATTACTGAAATCAGAAATGAAGGAAATCTACTTACTACCAGAAGGAGCTGTACAGCTCAAGCGAGAGTTCAGCCCAGCCTGCAGCCCGAGCAGCTCTGCCTTGCTGATGGCTGACCACACCTGCCAGACATGCAGCTGTCAAAGTCAACACTTTAGTGTTACCAATCAGGAACGTCAAAGAGAAAATAACATAACTGTTGGCAGCAAGAAATGAAGTCACAAGCCACATCCAGATCACAGGCAATGTCTTGCCTACACCACTTACAGACTAAAAATTTCCTTTAATAAAACTGATTTATCAAATGTTCAAAACAAATTTTTGCCTATTGCTCTACTTCACCAAGTTTACTCCTTTTGGGTTTTTAAATATTATGAACTGACAGAACTAGCTGAATTAAAGGTATACAAAATGATTATCTATCAAACATCCACTTTGTACATAAACATTTCTGAAACAGATTTACAGTATACAGTTAGTTTATACAGCTTAAGCAACTGTTACAATGTCATTTCTCTCAAACTGAAAGCAGCCAAAAGGTCTAAGATTTTGTGAAAAGGTTCTTGGTCACCATTCAAATTTTACCTTTCTTATCTCACCTTATTCACACCCATGTCATGAGAATAACATTGCTGGGTTCATTTCAAAAACTGTACGTTATTCCATCTCACTGTATGCTGTCGAGCTGGTTAATGTGCAAGAAAAGCTCATTAACTACAATTTATTTTTAAATACAATGTATCTACATTTTCCCCCAGAATGCTTTCGCTTCCTGAGCTAGACATAAAGTACCTTAAAACAGGTTTAGATGCAGATCTGAGACTCCATAAGCAAACTACATTAAAATGCGTAGAGAGGGGGGGAAAAAACCCCACACTGCTTTTGGTAGCTCACACTACTGTTTGAATAAGGTAGCAAACTTACTATTTGAGTTGTCTAAACTGTTATTACTGTGTATTTCTCTTGCCTTTTATGATTTTTATATAACAATGTGTATATTTCACAGGCTACTAAACACTTATAAACTTCATCGTGTCATCTAGGTGACTGGATTAGAAATGCTACAGTCTGCAACAAAAGCATGCAATTTAGTTGGAGTTTTGTTTTGGTTTTTTAAGATCAAATCTGGTTGCATTCGATACTACTATCTAAATCAAAGAAGGACAGCATATTAAAACTGGTATTTTGCAGGTATTTCAATATTTTAGATACTTTTGTTTTATTTCCAAAAACATTTGAGATCACTTTCAATGAAAAAAGATCCAATCTAAAACAAACCTCACTTTTGTTTCGATGAAAACAGGTTTTGGAACTGTGAATTCTATTTTTGGATCTGGAGTTCAAAAATAATTTTTAAAAGAAAAATTAATTTTCTAATCAAACAATGAATTAACTTGCAGTAAAATCTATATTATTAAATAAGCTTTTATTGCAGTATGGTAAGCTTGGGTTTAAGGTGCTATTCCATCTGCCCTGGAGTCTCTTAAGGACTTTACCATGTGGGCATCATGTCTGGGAACCACACTCTACCGAGATGCTTTGAAACTTCCCAATGAATCTGCTCTAAGTTGTATTTCTGATCAGGAATCAAAACTTCCTCCATGATAGAAAGCTGAGAGAGACGACCGCCACACATCTTCACAAACTCCACAAAGGCACTGCAAGAGACTTCACATTCTCCTAGGCCAACCGCCGACAGGTACTTGCACCGCTCAGCAATACAGATCAGCTCCTCATCCAGCGGCCGCAATCCATTGGCACACACCACCAGTTCAACCAGCCGAGGACACGTCATTCCAACGCGGCCAAGTACGTCTTTGCTTACTGATCTTCCGAAGTAAAGGTGAGTGACAGGTATTTCGTAACGAAAGAACGGGTCAAACTCTTCCTCGTACAGGAAAAAGTACATTACTAAATTTACTTTAGGAGAATGCTTGATGAAAGCATCCCAGCTGCTCTTCTGGATCGTGTGGAACTGAGTCTGCCCAGGGTTTTCACTGACAACGTCAATGCGCAAGTGTTCTAACCTGACGTGTTTTTCAGAAGACAAAGCAAGCAGCAGCTCATCACTCAGCAGGTGGTAGTTCAGGGCCAACTCACGTAAGCCATGGCACTGGTCAGCCACGCAAAGGATACCTGGCAGAACAGAACATTATGAGAGGGGTTGCTCAGATAAATGTACTAATAACTGAACAAGAAACATAGGAGTGCATTTGTTTATGTATGTCAGGGGAGTGCAAAGACCACCTATTTTAACATGTAACCAAGACCTAACATCAAAACAAAATCATACTGGACAGTGTGAAAATTAATCTTTTTCACAAGCACGACCTTGTGACCTCTTTGCACCTACACAGTTCAAGACAGACATGCACAATGCAACTACATCGCTATTTTGCTCGGGAAACAAAGAAGTTAACAAATATATAAACAGAAGGGACAAATATAAAGATAGCATATTCTGACTGTTCTGCCCTGCTGTAAGACCACATATTTGTGGTCTTACAAAAATGTTATAAAAATGAAGTTTTTGTAACTCATGATAAAAGTATTCCCCTAGCCTGTGCTGTAAGAACTGCTGTCTCCTCTGTGGCCAGCAAAGCAACTGTGAAAAAAAGTTTGTCGCCTGCAGAAAGCAAACGTAAAATCAATGCTAGATTTTAATTAAATACAGAAGCTGCTGCAGTCAGTATTTGTTCTTTCTAACAAAGCATAAATATTTAAATCTGGAAAAGCTACAGCAAAAAAAGGCGGCAAAACACTAAAAATTGTGAGCAGTAATTTCTAGAACAGCAATTTCCAGACTCTCCCTTTAATGAATTAATATGACCTGCTGCTCACAGAAGACAAAAACAAATTAACAAAAAGATTTCAGTTCAGTCTAAGGTTTCCACTTATCCTATTTGTACATAGAAGTGATGGTACCATACTGGTAACAGTACTGAAAAAAAATAAAAAGCACTAAAAAAAAGCATCCAGTCCTCTGCATTTCATGTGACCCAGAAACCTGTGAAATGTGGGATACGGCCTTTCCATTAATAGAGCATTTAACATTCCTCCTGACAGACATATTATGGCTCAGATACTTCTCAGACACAAAGATTGTCAAGAAACAATTTTAAGTCAGAAAAGCCAATTTAAGCAATCCCCTATCCATGATTACAAAGCTTTGGACAAAATGACATTACAGTTAATGTGCCAGTGAACACTTTGCTGGACCAAACTGCTGCATAACAAACCTGCACTTTCAGGACTTTTTTTATACAAAACCAAACATGAGGTTTTGTCTGAGAGCTACACCTGCAAAAGGTATTAAGTCTGTTTTGTTTGTTATCACTACAATAACACACCCTCTTCTATAGTACAGTTTTCCCCACATATTAGGAATCCTGCTGGTGAATTTTACACATAATATACCTAACACTTCCAACTGCAATATATTTGCATGAAGAAAGTTATGATTACTATAGTAGTTTCCACTCATCCTCAGAAGAGGAATCAAACTAAGTTGCCAGCATCTCATTTACAATTCTTCTTCCATTTCTTAGTGAAAAACTCTAAGTGTTAAGCTGACAGACTGTGAATAAATCTTAAACTTGCTGTGCATTGTTGAAGTTCATAGAATTAACATTTGCCAAAGGTTTATGCAATCTTTAGTCATTTTGTTCTGCTACAAGCAGACTTCATTCTTGCTACTGACACAGAGTGTTAATGCTTTGGTAATGGCAGAAGTTCTGCAGAGCTCAGTCTCATCTCCACTGTGTTGATGCTGTCTGCACTTATTCTCCAGCAAGAGATCAAACTGCTTTCCTTCAGAATGACTAAAGCAGCATCTTCATAATCCATGATATGGCAACACTCAAAACCCACACATAATAAAATGTGGAAAAGGAAGTCGTATTCCAAAAAGCTTGACTATACTGCAATGACTACTTAGTCATTGCAAAAGTAGTGCACTATTAAGCCAATACATACTCTTTAAGTTCCACATGAGATTAGTTGTTTGCCCACAACAGACATGCACTATTAGCTCAGTAGTCACTCTGCAAGTGGCAGGATAGATGGCCTGACCTCCAGTTGAAAGAACCTTCTTCAGTGACAGGTGCTGTAAATACCACACATCCTCCCGCCCCATTAAATTCAGACAGAATTTAATGCATGCATCATAAAAAAAACCCCAAGGAACAACAACAAAAAAACCCAGAACGATCCCACAGAACCACAGCAGCTTACCAGCTGGAGAAACATGAGGACAACTGCTCATTTTCAACAGTTTGAGTGTGTCACTATTATTAGCCACGAGCACTTTGAGAGATGGATCATCTACTGGTGTATCATCAATCTTGAGTGAAGAGAGGGATTTGGAGTTTACAAACACCACTGTCAGTGCAGAAATAAAGTGAGACTGGAAAAAAAAAGAAAGTGTAAATGAAGCAGAATCTCAAGTAAAAATCTCAGTGGATTTATACTGTACACTGCAATCTTAGTTTTCTTGTACTTATTGACAGCATTTGCCAAAAAAGCATTCTTTTGATATTGCATAACTAAAATTAATACTTAATCTGACATTTTTTAGTAGAGGAAGTGTAATAACTTTTTGCTATTAGTCGATGTATTGGGCAAAT